CCCCCCACCCCCACTGAGCTACTTGGCATTCAGTTGCTTAGATAAGAATACTTCAATTTCCTGCTGCTCCCCTCAGACAGTTAGATAAGTCCTTGTCTTCCACGCCAGTGGAGAAAATATTACTGTTTGGTGAAGCCAGAAGTTTAAACACAGCACTGATAGGTAGTGACTAATGAAGAAAAGGAGGGAAACCCCCCTCACAAATAAAGCATTTCTTTGTGTCTCTTTTTTTTTATCAGCAAATGAAGCTTGTTGTAATTTCCTGTAGGGGAATATTTTTAAAATTATTGCTATTGGTTCCTGAAGGAAATGAAAAAGCATCCCTTGTCTGGGACAGAATGTGTCATAAGAGTAAATATTTAACAACCACGAATAGGTTTCCTAGCTTACGTAGTACAGGGAGATAGCTAAATAGATGGATAGATAGACAGACAGACAATCTCCTCTTATGAGAGCAACTGTTAGTTGCTTAGAAATGACAAAGGAAGGTTATGAGAAGCAAATGAGAACAGAAGAGTGCTATATGGAGCAGTCAGACCCTGGTGCTTCCAGGCCCCCATCTCTCTATAAGGCTGATGGCTTCTGCCTTTGTTAATGCACAAAACACAGACAAAGCTTTTCCTGCACAATGTCCATCCTTCCTACCTGGGTTTCCTCTGATGCCACGCCTAAACATATGTTAAATAAAACAGGCCTGTTATATGATTTATATAAACATGTATTGTGAATGCTTATTCTGTGTTGATTTTTCTTTTGACTTAGATAAAATAATGACTTTTACTAAAAGAAAATACTCTGGCAGTAAAAAAAAAAAAAAAAAAAAAGAAATTTCCTGGTCAGTTGTAATTTTATGAATGAATGTGATATGCAGATTCTGAACTAAACATATCATTTGTCTCTGTATATGAATTTTGTGTGTATGTTTAATATTCTTGGGAATAGAAAACTTAGTGATTTGGTATTGGAAATTGGGATATGAACCACAGTGAATGTTCCTGAGTAAGATTTTTTTTTAGTTTACACCAAGATACCTACTTTTCTATAACGTATGTATCTAAGAAGTACAATTGTTAGCAAACGCTCAAAATGTTGATAATACCAGTAGCCTAGCTGCACACCTAACCTGAAGTCCATCCCCAAAATACGTGAAGATTTAATTACAATAGTTATTAAGTAAGGTGGCATCATCATGAATACTATCTATAAAGCCCCAGTTCAGGAATTCATTCATAGTTAAGGTGTACTCAAACAATTTGACAAAGTTTTGTCATTAGCACATGGATCCTTTTCTCTTTCATAATCCTGTTTTTTATTTATCCATTCTCAGTTTGCAGATTCATTTAACTTCAATCCTCACAAATGGCTCCTAGTGAATTTTGACTGCTCTGCTATGTGGTAAGTACCACAGTAAAAGAAAACATTACAAGAGACAAAAATCACATGTTAAATTAGTCTGCCTTTCTAGCTGTAGACATTTATTTACATTTTTGTATTGAAATTAGGAGTTCTGGATAACTTTAACTCTTGTAAATTATTTACAAAATTCACTCTTTCATTTAGTCCAGGTTTCAAAAAAGTAAAATTTATAAATAGGCTCTGCACTATGTTCCAGAGAGAGAGAAATCCTGAAAAGTCTGCAGATTCATACTGGCTCCATTTTTGGACTGTTTACAACATAAATGAAAAAACTTCATTTAAGGATGTTAATACAATGAAAAGCATGCTAAACAGAGCTTTTTCTTCTTTTACATAAAATTTCTTCATGTTTGAGCCTTGATTCTTTCAAAAGACTTTCTGAAAGTGCTTGGGAATTGGCTGATGAAAAGCAATTATTTCTTTTCAAAAAGGATTATTTATGCAATTTTGTACTGTTTTTCAGTTTCCCCAGATGACAGCAGAGATGACATTTTGATATAAAAAGATGTCAAAGTAGAAGCCAGTAGACATATTTTGAAACTAAGGAAGGTATCATAGCAGTAATCATAGCAGTAATAATAACATCCCATAGTAACTGATCCTATTGTGTCCCAAACTGGAATCTCCAGAACCTAGTGACTACCAATGTCACGACTAATGATACTTATTAGCAAAACAGCTATTCAGTAAATGCAGACTATTTATCAAAATAAATGAAAACATTAATTTCAGGTATAATAGGACAAATTTTGCAAAAATGAAGGAAAAACTGATTGTTAAAAAGAAGACTCTAAAACATCATCCACGAAAAGGTCACCTTATTTAAAGGAAAAATAAATGTGAGACAGTGATCACTCAGTTGCCTTTGCTTAACCTCCAGCTCTTAAAATCCTCAGCAAAGTTGACTTTTGCACAAATATAGATATTATTAGATAACACATTACATTTTTGAATTTAGGAGTTTTCCCAATGTAAGCACTTCAATTATTCCAAGCCATAATTAAATGTTTCTTTTCTTTAGAGTAAGTGGCTTACATTTTGATCCTGATTCATCAGTAGTGGTGGTGATTAACACAAGACTCCAGTTTATAAGTACCTCATAACTAGCTGTCTCTCTCTGTACATGGAAATAGGGAGAAGATGAAACTCCTTCGCTAGTTTCTCCTTTTTCTCATCACTCTGAGGCACTGTTAAAGTAGCCACTCAGAAATGAGAAAATATACCATCATTCTCTTTAATGTTTGTAGGACAATTTGGGGCTAGAGTCTAGTCCCTACCAGTTTAACCTCTCATTAATCCTGCTTTCCCTTATAACCCTGTGGAACTAGGTTAAAAGTGTTTTAGCTGGCTTTCCAGGAAAACAAGTTGTATACAATCATACTGTCTGGAAAGACTTTGGAAAGTATTTTTCTCCATTTTGTTTCTTGCTTTTTTTTTTTTTTTAGATAAGCTTTTGCATAAAATGTTTGTCTTCATAGGTAGAAAGATTCCTCAAGAGACCTTGCAACATGTCTCGTTTCTCAAAGTGAAAGCTTTGCAACCATAGCCATTCAGGCTTCATTACAGCAAGACATTTATGTATAGGTGCTATTAACTTAATAAAGAACGAAGTATATATTTAAAGTTAAAGTCTTTGACTTGGAAGTCCAACTACTTCTAAGGCCCACGTCCAAAATTCACCCCTCTTACCAACTGTAACACTGCCTGAAAAGGTGAAATGCAATATTAAAAGATGAAGGAACCTGGTGAGAAAAAGTAACTTGGAAGGACACATAGTCCTCTTGGGATCCATGGGAAGTATTAACCATGATATTGTAATAACACAGAAAGAGTTCAATTAACAGTGAACACCATTTCAGAGCCAAATTAAGCTGAGACCCGTTGACAGACAGGTTTCTAAATAACTCAGGCTCCTCAGCACTTTCTTCAGTAAACACTCCCATTTATTTTCCCTGTAAGTTGATTAAGATAATCTAGCCATTAGATCTGTAATGTAATTATTTAACTACTCAGTGCAATATGTAGCACTGATGCCATTTGGGATTTGGAGGCAATTTCATTGTAAACTTTTTGTAAAATATTCTCAGACTTCTCGATGTACAGAAAAGAGCACCCAATTTCCTACAAAAAGGAATTTAATATGGACACTCCGAGACGGGTCTATTTTCCATATTCAAATGTTGGGGTCCTTTAGAGACTCTGCCTTGAAACCACCACTCAGTTTTGCCTTGACTTGTTTAATTGGTGCTCTGGAATATTTTTTTCAAATAGGAAGAAGTGTCTCCTTTCGGAGACAGTGAAAATAATAGTATTGGAAAGTCTTGGTATTTTTGCTTTTCTATTACTCTTTTCAGGGTTTAAGTGTTAACTTTTGGTTGGGAAGGTTATTTTAGTATTTGAAAGGAAGGTGCACATAAGAAATGGTTATCTGTAGATGGAAGTGAAATTTTCCTGTTGGTTTATAATATGAAATCAACTTTTTTGGTTATTGTGTCTATCAGTCAAAATGGACAGAATAGTGAGGCTGTTAAAAGCTGGAGATGTCCAATCTGAGTAAGTCACTTTTCCCAAATTTTCGTTGCTTCATTCACCAGGACTGCTATTGTGCATTTTGTATCATGAGCACTTGATATGTGAATCTGTGCCACTCAAGCTAGATCTTAGTAGGTCTACTTGCATTATATCAAGCCTAAAAAAAAAATTCTAGTTTACTAATGATATTTTTGAAATATATATTCAGGGTCCTTCAGTCAACCAGGGGTATGCACAAGGAAAGTTAAGAACACCACTTCTATCCATTACCAGACCACACAAGCAAAGAAGTTTAAATTCAGAGGGTGAAATTTAGACATGGTATACAAAGGTGCAACTCAACTGGCTCATATACATTGATGTCCAGGCTTTGGATTTATTTTAGTAATCCTTTTAGATAGTTTTTCATGGTTGCCAGATTAAGACCTGTGAAGTCCCCAGATGGAACAGACACCGTCTTTTAAAAAAGCGGTAACATCACCAAGGAAGTGCAAGATGACAGCCTTTTTATAGCTTCTGAGCAACCAGATGTTCCTGCAGAATAGTTATCTGTTCCATTGTTTAGCACAGCATATTACAGGAGAAGGAATTAAGCTCTCACGAGACAACTAATGATATTGCTTGTAACTTGGGTTAGTTGTGTATGGAATGATCTACTGAAACATGAATATATCAAAGTAATCAAACATATCAAATAAACTACAGTAGAACAACTTGGGGTTTGTTCACCTACCATAATTAAACCTGCTTTCAGATAATAATTTCTTCCTTCTGTCCACAGGACAGAATCCTATTCTGTCCACACAAACAGGTTATTAATTGTTTTCTTGAGAGTATTCTGAATGTCTTTTACTATTTTTCATGTACATAAGCTTACTTATCTTCAGCTATGTACTTTCCATACCTGAAGGCAAGTAATTTGTTAACCTTGGTACTCTCCTGACCATTAAAGAGAGAGGAGGGCTTTTTATTTGTTTGAATAAGATGTTTTATGAGCATAGTCTAGATGTGAACGAGACTGGGAGTATGTACTAACCTATGCATTTATACATACATACTAAAATACTGGAAATTAGATTTTTGCTTATAATTTTACATTAAAACATTGAAAAACATCAAAAAAGGATGTGCAGAAAATCAGAAAAGGTTTGGACTTCTGTCATTTAGTGTCACCACGTTGACATAATGATTGCTTACTTTGTGAACTATTTATAGGCCTAATATAATTATGTAGCAATCTCTCCCTTTTTGATTTCTGGTTTCTTCTTTTTCTGCCTCTATAAACCCCATCATTTGTAGAGGTGAGTCAATCTTACACATAAAGTGAATAATAAACCAACAAAATCTTGTTGTTACCCACTGGCAAAATGTAGCTTATTCTTTCTAAAAGGGACACACTGGCTTTTGAATCTCAGGCCAGTCTCACCACCCACTAGCTGGCAATAGTAAGGTATGCTGCTCAGTTTTACATTGTGCTCTAGTATATTGGATCCAGCTAAGGGCAGGGTGGTACAAGAGGGAAGCCTGTGTCTGGACTGAGTGGCTCATCCCCACCAGTGGCTGCTGCTGCCACCACCACAGCATGGAGAGACAGTGGCCAGCATCCACAAAGCCTCAATGCTGCTGTGTGCCGTGTCTAGGAAGCCACAGCTCTTCCCACACAGCTTTGTACTGCAGTAATTTCAAGGCAAATTCTGTTGACTGCAAACATTAACATTGCTTTAGCTAGTCTCACATTCTGGTGTGAGTGTCTATCACCATAAAAAGATCCGCTGTGTCTGTTTCTTATCTATTTTGAAATATGCAGTCGTACAGTCATGCTGCCCGTTCCTGCTAAGCCTGACACTTAACTACTTGTAAGTACAGTAATGATATGGCTGTGAAAAAGCACTGAAAATGGCACAGACTGTGCTCAGGAAGTATGCTGGTTTAAACACATTCTATTTGCCTGAACTTATTGTGGAAATTTAATCCCTTAAATTTTAATTCCTAAATGTCTCAATTTTCTTTCTTTGTTTTTTTTTAATGCAGGGTGAAAAAAAGATCAGATTTAATAGGTGCCTTTAAATTAGAACCTCTTTACCTGCAGCATCACCATCAGGAGTCTGGTAATTTTATAATTAAATGAAATTATTAATATTTTGTTTGCACACTGATATTTAATGGAAAAAAAAGGTCTTAAGATGAAAACTGAAATTCTTAAAACTACCTAAGTTGTTTAGGAGGCTATTTCCATTTTCAAAGTGCTCCAGGGAGTTAAGCTTATTAAAGACCAAATATATCTAGTAAGATTTTAGTTAATATAAAAAGCAATTGATGGAAAGACATTTTATAAAGCATTGTATTAATACTTTTGTACTGGGATTTCTCCAGCTCCAGATTTACCACTGACTCTTTGTAGGAGTGTTGAGAAAATTCTTAATGATCTTTTGGTAGTCAGATAAACATGTTGGGTGCTGTGTATCAAGTCCCTTAACCTGCCTTCCCCAACATAGTTTTCACCAGAATGGTTTAAAGATCTGATTTGGTTCTAGGGTTTCTAAAGTCTGTGACCTTTTTTCTTACCTATGCATGCAAGCTATGATTCAAATTTTCAAATACGCACAGCAGGAGCAAACACTCCCTGAAACTACAAGGAGTGCTCTGTTTCGAGTGATAGCTATCTGGGACGTTATCCTGTTGCTTCCATGTTCTTACATTGATTGGAGAGAAGGAGGTAAGTGCAGGCTACCCATCTAGTACAAAATGTTCACAAAAGCTCTTCACATAATGCTCACAAAGAACTTCAAATCTTAGGCCCTGTACAAAGCTCCTTAATGGATTAGTGCTGCTCCTTGGATGTACCTAGCAACTGCAGAGTGGCGTTTGCCGTCCTGAAGCCTGTTTTCACACATTCAGTTAATAACTGACAAATTGCGAAGAAGGTCACAGCAGTGCAGTGTCGACATGTGGTGCAAGTTCCCTTGTAACTTTGTCAAGAGGGTGGATCACATGTGGATGTTCTTACCATTTACTCTCTCTTATATACTTCCTGGAATTGCTAGTGCTGATCTGTGTTCAGGAGGGTATCCTAAATACTTTTATTTTCTCTCTGTTATGGCTATGAACTGATTGATATTTAAATTAATACCATCCAGAATTCCACCATTCATTTAAAATCCCTAGGAAAAATTGTTTCCTGTGCCTTAATACTGATCTGGATGAAATTTTGCATTGTATTCCTTTTTTACATTCCCAAGTAATGCAAATATAGAACAGTGCAATAAATGGGAAAATTCAGTAACTCTGGAGCTAAGGTTCACCCTCCAAAGGCTAGAATTGTTAAGAAAAAATACATACTGTTTTTCGCCTTTTTAAATGAAAAATACCAGTTGTAGCAAATACACTTAAGTCACTAGCTTTTACTTAATGTACATGAAAAATATTTCTCTTCAGGAGAAAAAGTCCAACCTTAACTAAAGTGAAAATGTTCTTGTAACAACTGACAATGCTGATACAAGAACCTTAGGTGTTCCCCAGGTTAAATAACACCAGAAGAAAATCAAACCTTTCTTAAAACTAGGTGCTTTCAGTGAGGCCACCTAGTTGATCTGAAAAGTTTATTTCCCCAGCTGGATAATAAGTTGTTCAGCTTTCATCTTGCCTTCAGAAGCTGTGAAAGTATGTTACGTAATCTAGACATAATGATTCCAAACAGATCAGCTGATTACTAGCAGTCTAGTGATGCTAAATTTTTCTGTGCTCTATTCCCATTTCATACCAGTTTTCCAAAGAGCTGGACAACACTTTTCAAATGCAAATGCCTCTAGTTAAACTGTTAACTCCAATCCACACTTATGCCTTCAACAAAAACAGTCAAAGTTGCAAAGATGCTAGGCTGTTACAGTCCCTGTGTGATTTATAGGATGTCAGCACTCCTGGAAATAGGACTTGTCTAATGGAAGGTCTTATTTTCTGAGTATGTATGCTTCAGGTCTGAGAATTCCCATCGTGGTTTACAAGGCAAATTAAGTAGCATTTTTGAATTCACTCATCTCTCACTCAACAATTTAAATGAGCAGAAAAATATATCTATCTATGAGCAATTACTCTTAACAACCATATGGCAATTATGTGTGCCCCCAAGGGGAAAAACCTTTATTTTGTCATTAATTATAATTTTATGTGATTTTCATCATCACACCAGGAAGATTATACTAGCTTGTCTGGCAACCCAGGATATAGGTCAAATCCTAATGGTGGTGTTAGAAGAATGCAGCTTTATACTCTATTGTGAACGCCACATATGTTCCCACAATGCAATTCCTCCTGGTTAAATACAGATGTAAGACTAAGGCTTGTAATCAAGGACTAATCACTGATTGCATTCTGCTTCACAGCTTGTGAAAGGCATTGTTGTGGATCATTAGACGTAGCCCCTTACAGAAGCGTAGGATTATTTATCGGTCACCAGTTGCTTTACTCTCTTTGATAACAGTCTTGCAGCTATCAAACAAAAATGGCTGCTACAACACAGAAGAATATGAGTGTTATCAAATTACCTTGTTACTGAGCTGAGACAACCCTGTTTATTTCATAAAAGTCCAGGAACACGTTAAAGATTGTTGGTTGTTGTGTAGTTTTTATTTTCATCTGGAAAATAACCTAATAACAGGCTAAAGAACCAAATGGCTATATGTTGCAGGGAGGAAGGACCATGGTTTTTTCTTATGTTTTGGCTGCATAGATGGGCGAACATTGGCAAGAGAGCTTGTAACACACAAAATACAGAGGCTGAAAATACAAAGGCTGAGAATTACATAAATGACATAAACTGGTCAAATTCAGAAGCCACAGTTCTATATAGCACCTTGCGGTTCATAATTCCAAGAGCATTTAGACAGCACTTTCCCTTGGAATTTAAGTACATACCTTCCTGTGAAGCTTGTGCTCCACTGCAGAATAATAAAGCAGACTAAGAAAGCTAAGTAGATGCTTCCACATCTTCCTAAAGAAGTGCCTTAGATTTTAGGCGATTCTAAAACTGAATTTCTAACTGCAGTAATCTAACTTCCGTAATTTCTAACTGCAAGTAATCCAGCTTTATGTTACAGTTTCCTTTACTGTGAAATCAGTGTAATTACCTGATTCAAAGAAAAGGTAGATGTATCTTGACTCTGTGTGCTCATATAAAATATAACTAATAATGCCCTCTACTTGCCTCCTTGGACTGCTTTGTGGCTTAGTCAATCTGTGTTTGTCAGGGGCTTTCACTACATCAAATGAAAAGCCACAAAAAATGCTGAATACTATTCTCCAAACAGGAAGAGGTGAATTCTGAATCAAATTTTCAAGTCACTTATTAGTCACGCAGAAGAATTAGCAACAACTATATGAATGAGTGTAAAAGGTAGTTAGAAGCAGAGAATGAGCAATGAAGTGAGTTTGGGGATTCTGCAAACTGTTTGAAACAAAATTAATAATTGCCATTTTATCTATTACTTCTTTTCCTTACAAGAGGAAAATAAACACAGTATTTAGTCCATCACCTCCACAAGGATCTGCAGTATAACAGAAAGAAAAATTTTGTTTCTTCTCCTGAAAACTGTTTAATTTGTTAGTGGTATATTCTGACTAGCTAAGGAATGAAGCTTACTGCATTTAGCATGCTGCCAATTAACCTACTAGCTATTTAGTGGTCCTGTTGACACTGACGATGCTAAAGTTTGTAGCAAACATAAAGGATAGCTAAGATACAGCTTTTTTCAATAGTGTTAGAATGAGTGTAGGTTTTGGCTAATGTGATGATGAAATGTGAACATTTTTTCTTTAACTTGCAGGCCTTGTAACAGATTATCGGGTAAGTACAGCATCAATGCAATACTTAATACTATTATTTGTATACACTGATATTGCCAGGACTTTTATTTTCTATTACTATCATAAACCTCAAAAACCTTGTGTTTCTTTCCAGGAAGGATGCAGTTTGCTAAAGTTTTAGCATTCCTTAAGCTGAAACTTTAAACACTATTTAAAAAAAAAATGTTTAAAAGCAGAAATCATCTTGCATGTGTAGTATCTCAAGGTTTAGGCAGTAGAAAGAAATATTCTAGCCCCACAGCTTTAAGCAAGTCAGTATACATGAGCTTCCAAGACACTCATTTTTCCAAAGCCTTCAAGGAGAATTCAGGATGCACAAAGAAAATTTTATTTGCCTTGTGAGCTTTCCATTCTGACACCAATATCCTATTCATTTGAAAATTTGAGTATTAAACAGTCACACCAGGGCATTAACCAGAAATCAACATTTCTATTATCATTTGACCCACCTCTACCACCTGCCTGTAGGATGTGGCAATGTGGTATGCTTCCAAATAATTGCAGAACTTACAATTTCTGCAGTATCACTGCAACAGTGACTTCTAACATGGGTGCCTTCCCTTCTCCCTGGCTTGCAGCACTGGCAAATCCCTCTGGGGAGGAGGTTCCGCTCCCTGAAGCTCTGGTTCGTGCTGAGGATGTATGGAGTCACGGGACTGCAGGAGCACATCCGCAAGGTGACTGGAATTTGCTTTCTTGGGTAACCTGTGGTGGGATGGCAAGGGAGAATGAGCTTGCTACCTCTCTAGTCTCCATTACTTCCGTACACAACAGAAAGCACAGACAACAGATTTTGGACAGCTGGGTTCAACAGGGGTACTGTCTGTTTGCCCCACGTAGTATCACAATTTCACATCATGGCAGAATCAAAACTCTCATCTGGTTTGTGTTAATCTTTAGAGAAGACAAGCCTAGGAATTTGGAATGTCTACAGTGTAGGACCATAGTTCCTTCTGAAAATAAACCAGAGCACTTGAATTATTTTATTGGAGGGAAACATGTTTATTCATGACTTCTTTATTTTATTAACGTGCATGCGTTGATAGCATGTTCAATTTTGATTAAGGTCATTGGGCTGCATTTATGATACAATAACTTATTGGGCATGTCTACCTCTGCTGTTTCTTTGTTTACGATTTAAAATCCACCTTTTAAAAATCCACTTTTTAAAAAAAAAAAAAAAAAGAGGATGTGTACATTGTTATGAATAAGTACTTTATTCTTGATGTAAAAAAAAGGGCTCCTTAACACTAAAAACACACCTGGTACTAGTCTAAATTATATATATACTTCCTCTATAGCAGTAAAATCAAATTGAAGCATACCTTTCATCTTTATGAAATTTAGGGAAATGTCTGGTGAGGGGAAATCCATGACTTCGCTCTAAATATTTACAAAAATATCCATTAGCTAAGAGTCTGGTCTGGTATTCCAAACTCTCTGCAGACACACATTCCTTTCTGTGGTGGTACGAAACAGATTAATTCCCAAGAAAGGCTTTTTCCATGATTGTAAAATTGCTGCATAAGTCTCTCTTGAATTGAAAAAGTTCTGGGATGGAGAGTACTCTCTTTTCTTCTCATTTTTATCACACTGTAATTTTCAACTGACTATAGAGATATCTGAATTGGATTTTTATCCTTAATGAGGCTTTCAGAAATAAATTTTGACAACAGTGGCAATCCTGATGTTCGGTCATCTTTGTGGCAATCTGACACATACCCTTCTGATGAAAAATTGATACAAGGTTTGTTATCACTTTACTAGGCTACCATTAGAGTTTCTAGCAGGTTTCTCTCTCAGGTTAGATTTCTGGAGATTGCAATTATTTTAATATGATGCCAAGCTCTTAGTAGGGCTAAATCTCTCACTTGGAAAACAGAGGCTTGGAAACCCGATATTAATTACATGATTTTTTATCAGGCTGATTTCCACAGGTCAGTATCCATTTCCAACAAGTTCCCTCTTTCCTTTTTCCTCTTTCCCTGTCTCCTAGACATTTCCCTGGACTGTCCAGCCAAAAAGCGCTTGTCTTGCTATAAGCAGAGCTGAAGAACATTTTTTTATACTTTCTGTGATAACACAGTTCAGGAAGGCTAAGCAAATGAATCTTCTCTTAAAGATACTGACTCCAAAGTAAAACTCTAATATGTTCCCTTATTTGTAAAGGTAATTCAGACAGCTAGATTTCCAGGGGCTTGCTGAACTGAGTGTATATGTTTAATATTTCATTAAGGACTAAAGTGTTCCCTGGTGTACAGAGAAAAATAAGTTATGACCTTATGTTTGCAACTTTGAAAGGGCAAGAGGGGTAATTAAGTGCAGAATCTGGGTCACTGTATACATCTGTCTAACGGGAACCATGACGTTCGTTTCTCCTCATAGCCCCCACCAGATGAGTGATGATTAAACTCAGTGGGTTCCAAGCCAGCTTTAAAAAAAAGTAAATTCTATCTCCATCAGTTCTCTGATGAACTTAGATTTCAATAAATAATTGCATTTCATTTGTTCCATTCTCTAGCAGTATTTAAAACTTTTACAAGTTTGCAGACATGTTGGTAAAGTTATATCAGCAGCTGAAAAATAACATTTTTAAATGTGTTTCATATCTTGCCCATTTTCCTCTCTTCTCAGGAATTATCCTTGGTTCCAGATTTATTGTGAGGACTTTTCTTTTTGTAGTGCAGTAATGAAGTACGTAAACCAGCCTGACACTGGTTTACATTTTCAAACCTGTAGACAAGCTTCCTAACAAAAAGTAATTTGGAACTTAACGTCACTTGTTAACTTCACCTTAGCATTGCTTGTTCCAGTGCTTGGCCTTGAAAAGTTGCTTTGTTTTAAATATCTCACAGCATCTTGCAAATAACAGCTTTTATATTCCCATTCTTGGCAAAGGCAGTCCTTGAAGAGAATAGCTGGTACTGTATCTTGTGTACTTGGGACTTCTAGCTGTGTTATAAGGGAAGCCTCATAGCTGCCAGAATGATTTCTGAATCTGCGTTTATGAGAGTGGGTCATAGAATTGACACAGGTAGAATGAGAAGACGCCTGGGAACAGTGGCAGAAGCAGGGATTGCAGCCTTCAAGTGGAGAGCAGAGTGGCTGGAACTGGAGAAGTGGGAAGAAGGTCTCTCTCTCTGGTGTGTTATTAAGGAGTTGCCCCAGGGAAAGGGCCAGGCATGAGAGCAGAGGCTCGAAACAGCTCCTTGCCCTGGAACCTGGGGAGGGGGATGCCTACGTTCAGGATGTAGCATGCAGTCATACACCACATAGTTTTGGGGATAAACTTTTTAATAGGGCCTGCAGCAATAGGACAAGGGGTAATGGTTTTAGGAGAGGTTTAGACTAGATATAAGGAAAAAATATTTTACACTTAGAGTGGTGAAACACTGGAACAGGTTGCCCAGGGAAGTGGTAGATGCCCCATCCCTGAAAACATTCAAGGTCAGGTTGGATTGGGCTCTGGGCAACCTGATCTAGTGGAAGATGTCCCTGCTTACTGCAGGGGGGTTGTACTAGATGATCTCCATGGTCCCTTCCAACTCAAAATATTCTATGATTCTATGACTCTAGTTTTCATATGTCAACATATCTGTTTGTAGGGCATGTCATTCCTGTTCATGCTATACAATAGCAGCCAAGGCATGCCTGTTCAGATACAGGGCTGGGCCTTATTGAGAGATCTGGGACCCAGCATTTCAATTCCTTTCTGAGTTTACACAAATCCCAATATAGATGCTGTGATAACCTAGAAAAAAAAAAGACACTTCAGCTCCTAAGTCATAGAAAACTGTAGGAAGATTTATCCAGTGTTCATATAATTCTAGTTGGGATTCTTTTGTGCAGCCAGGTGTTACTTACAAAGTGATTTCAGATTTTCAGTAGTGATGAGCTTCTGACAGGATATAGAGGGGAAAACCCACTGCATGTCCTTAAGAAGCCACCCTAGTTGCTGTGTCTTTAGCAAGCTTCTATATGGAAAACTAAAGATATCTGCAACTATCTCTTCACAAACTTATATTTTTTTTTCTTTCTGGATGTAAACAGCCACTAAAAAACTATTTGTTTCTTTGTTTTTCTTTTTTTTTTTTCTCTTTTATTAGTACGTTTTAAGAAAAAGATGTTTGTTATGTATACATACTTAAGGTCTGCATCAAAATGACTAGATAACCACTGCAACCTGGCATTTGCTTGTACCGAGGAAGACATTTAGGAACTAAATACTCCTGGGAGATGAGAATGCGTGACTTGGATTTAGATACAGTAACTTTTTTTTTTTTCCAAACCTTCCAGTTATGCACTCTTTTTCTACACAACTTGCAATATTAGCCTATTGCAAAGTATTGGTTTTAAATCAGTGGTAAAGGGGAGGACAGTCATCTCTGAAGGATGTGGGGAGAGAAAAATAAAAATTTTGGAGGTAAGTCCCAAAGCCACAAAGAAGATCTACTAAGAGAGCAAAACCAACAATAACAGTCTTGTGGACTGATTCCAAATACTCAGAGTCAGTATAAATGTGAAACCCAAATGGCCCATTTGTAAATGGCCCATTGGCAAACTGCTTGCCCATCTATTACTCCTTTGTTGGTTTAAGTCCTCTCAAAGAGCTGAGAAGTAATTTGAGAAATATAGCAGTTAATGTTTTGTATGTGATCCCCATGAACATTCTGACTCAGATGAATCCTCCATAGGACCAGAAGAAATCAATATACCACGTCCTTCTTTCTTTGCTGAGGACAATGAACTTCATTAAAAATTAACAGCAGAGACCAAGAAACTGGAACTGTACAGAACAGCAATGCCAGAGATAGCATTTCACCTGGGGAGTGGCACAGTCCAAGTGGCTGTTGAGAAGACTGTTTTGACAGCATTTTCCTTCAGAGTGGAGTGGGATGCAAGCTAAGGTGGGCAGGGAGGTTAAACCTACAGGAGGAAAAGGATGAAATGTTCAAGGCTAGACAGATATGCCTATTTGCATAAACACATGAATGTACTCTGATGCTTCAGAGAGGCTCCTTTCAATCAAGAAGTATTTAAGTTCTTGAAGACTTTGCCCAAAAATCAAAATTCAGTTAAAACAGCTCAATGCAGAAGCATTTATATTTACATAGATACATACACAAATACAGATTTTTTTTTTTTTAAGTAGGGACTACATCTTAATGCCTCACATGTTTACTCTTCCCATTAGAAATTATGTAAGACATTTCCCTTAATCCTGAAAAACCAAATGAATTAGATCCCTTTCTCATTTCCCTTCTCACTGCAGAACAGCCATAGTTACTCACCTGAGACAGACAGTAATACACAAAAATTCTGTTGAAGTTTCTTTTCTTAAATCTCCTAAATTTCAGTGTGAAAAGAAGGTCTGGTATCTATTCCTGTATGCTAAGACTTTTCAGGCCACTAATGCAGTCCATCTGATTCCACTTTGGAAACCCAGGTGATAAAGGGATTGTCCAAATGATATTGCTGGAAACAGTATATTAGTTGGTTTGTGTATGACCACTTTTTTGTTAAATTATATAACAGCATTAAATAAAATACTTTTAAAGGTTAAATAATATTTGAATGTGAACTTTAAGTTAATGGTGCTAGGAACACAGCATAGCACAAATGTCCAAATCAAAGGCACGTGGAGGGTTAAAATATCCATAGGTCAGGCTTGGTATGTACACATCCAGCAGAAAACTGAGAACAGCCTGTCAGTTTTCACCTCTCCTTCTTTTCTATCCTTAGTTTCAGTGCCCACAGTTCTCCAAACAGGTCTCTATTTTTACCTGCCTGTCTTGAGAAGTTGAAGCACTAAAGCCACACGTGTCCTTCTGTGAGTTATTGCCGTGCTCACATCCAGAGCATGGGTACAACTCTTGGACTCACAGAGGCAGGTGTGATAACAAGGGGTTATGGGTTTTACGGAGTTTGAACTTCCAGGCTTAATAATGTTTAACTTTATTGGGTTTAATTATGTTTGCTTGCAACAATATTTGTAAAAGCAATTCAGCATAATAGCTTATAGTTCAAAGGTGCAGGGCGGTGGGTAAATGCGTTAAGTGAAGCTATTACAGGTGAAACGTCAGTTAACTCCACTTTCTCTCCGAGCCAGTTCTGTAAAATCTAAAGCACTTGGTGCCCCCCAGTGGCTTTACAAATCATTGCTACTTGTTAAGAATCGCTATGGATAAAAGTACTTGCATCCAGACATTCACACAAAATACTTCCAGAATTTTGATTCGTATTTACTAAATAGTCTCTATTTTTCCTTGCTTTTATTCCTTTCAAATTCCTGAAAAATCCTTTACTGCAACAAGTGGACATAAATATCTGCTATAAAATGTACAGCATGGGTCTGGAAATTTTCTTGTACAAACTACTTGCAATAAACCAAATGTTACATTTTTGTTTTATTCAGTTATTACCCAGGTAAATTTTGATTAAATTCAGTTGGCTATTATATTCAGATGAACAGTTGTGAAATTTTCGTCTCATCGAACATTATTTTTTTAATGGCTTTGATTTCCAGCAGGTAGTGCATGCAGTGTGAAATTTTGAGGAGCTGTGTAAAAGACATCAGTTTGGTTAAGGCTATAGAACATGAGGATAGGAGAAGACAGTAAAAGATTATTAAAACATGTATGTATATTTCACGTATGTTTTCCATGCACTTATGCATACAACTATCTGTAGGTATACATCTACTTCTGGACAATTTTCATAGCTGTAAACTCATGCTGTTTAGATTAGAAGAACATTCAAATGCCTTGGAAAGGATTGGGCATTTTATTGGTCTCATTCCTGACTCAAAGTGCCTTCAGTCTAATTTTAGAGGGAGATGATATATGGATGTAACAAAAAGCAGAGAGGAAGTGGTAACAACAGTAAGATTGGCTGGTTGCATAGGGTACCAGTATGCCCAATATGAAGGTTTTGAAGCAATGTTTCGATTCAATATAAACAGTGTTTTTCTATTTTAAGAAATAAACAAACATCAGAACGTTATGATTAAGATTGCAAAATGTGTTCATTTTTTTTTTCTTTTCTGTAATTTCTGTTTTGCCTTGTTCTTGCCCTTTGGAAAAAGTTCCTGTGAGAAGGCACATTCCACATCCAGCCCTGTCCCAAAGTGAAATGTTTCATTTTGTTTGTTATCTGTCCTTGAACTTGCAAAAAGACAAAGTGCAAAAGCAGGAAAAGACATGGGCTTAGTTGTTTATTTTTGTAAAATTATTTGCAATAATAAATATATAAAAGCTAAGGAACTTTTAAACATAATTTTAGATGTTGCTGATTATTTTTGGTGTAGACGGGCTATTTCATGAAGACAGACTGTAATTCTAACAGCTGGTTGCTGTTGTCTTTTTTTTCTTTTTTGTTTCTTTTTTTTGGGGGGGGGGGGGGTAATAAGCACTACACTGAGATGATAGCCAGTGAGAGGGGGACTGGATAAGGTACTGCAGGTACCTGATGAGGATATGGGTTCTTTTTTTCCAAGTGCTTTTGAATTAATTACCTGTTTGGAAGAAAGCAAAATGTGGTATGAGCATGCAAGCATCATGGACTGATGTTAAGACTTCCCACTGACTGTTAGTATGCCTGTTGGTATTTTTCCTATTTGTTTGATTTGGAAGAGCAGTGTTTTCCTATGTGTCAAAACAATTGCTCTGGCTTGGTGCTCTTTTTTCCCCAGTAACTTCTGAACAGGTTGGCTGAGACTTGCTATCCATTTTGTTGATTATAATGCCATCACCTTTCTTTTCAACTGAACCTGAGTACCCAGGTCAGAAGAGTGAGCAAGTTCTCCCCTTCTTCACAGTTATTCTCATATTGAGTGAACTATTCTAAAAAGTGTATCTTTCCAGCTTATTTTGCACTGGAATTGTGATCATTTTCTCTCTACATATCTGTGCATCTCCCTCTTTCCCCATAAAAACTTTTAGACTCTTTAGCCATTCCCAGCCAAAACTGACAGTGGTAGAAAACCTAAAGAAGAATTATTACAATTATTTACTATTAATATGGTCTCACATAAAACTGTGCCAAAATGTTTCATTAAGAAACAGACAAGTACTGCCTGAGATAGACTGAGCTACTAATACAGTAATGGCTCAATATGGTCTCTGGAAGTCATACATGGGATGTAAGTTAACATAAACAGATGGCGATATGTGAATACTATCACGTATCAGAAGAGGGAATAGAGGAAAGTTATTAGGGATGCAAACAATTTAGCACATCTTTTCTTCTGATGAATTAAATTTGTACAACATAGATGCTATCTGTCTCTTCTTAGCACGTCAGGCTGTCGCATCAGTTTGAACATTTAGTCCGTCAGGATGAAAGATTTGAGATCTGTGCTGAAGTTGTCTTGGGACTAGTCTGTTTTCGGCTGAAGGTAAGGCAGCTAAGACCTCCTATTTCTTCTGTCATGTTTTACAGCAATGCAACCTGCAATTGAATATACTCTTTGTAGTTAATATACTTAATTATTTTTTAAGGAAAGTAAAGAGAGTTTGTGTAGATCAAAGCACATTAAAGAAAGAAGCTTAAGACAACTTTGTCAAAAATAATCAAATGCTTAAGAGAAATTCAAGCACATTAGGGTATGAAAATATATAGCTAAGGCGAACAAAAGGTCTACACAGTCCCACAAAATGATCGTTTTCTTCTATGCTTGATGGACTTTGATTAAGATAATTGTTTTAAAATATTTCCCTAGAAATTTGTATATAATGCATGAGTGTATATGTGTGCATTATGTTTCATGTCAAGTTAATTTTATATGTGTGCATGTTTAATATCCAATTATAAATATATATAATGACTATCATGGATGAAGATTAGAGTAGTAAATACTTTTTTGTTGTTTTCTTTAGAGAATATATTTTCATTAAATCCTACAGTAGGAGTGGGCAAACTGGAGCAAGATATGAGTAAGAACAGGTTGCATGGGAGGCCAGCTTCCCAAGTGCCCTTGGCCCTGGTCTTCTTTTTTTTTTGCTGAAGATGATCCTTTTGCCCCTCTTGGCCTTTATTCCTCAAAATCTCTGTAAGTGCGAAGATCACTGACAGCGAGACCTTGCCCAGTAAAAACTAGAAAACTCACTCTTCACTCAGAGCATAAGAGCTGCAGTAGTTGGAAGGGCTCACTTGTTTAATCAGACATTAAAAGGGGATCAGTGTCTTATTTTAGGTAAAGATCTCATTTAATAGAGGAGCTTGCAACTAAAGCCTCTGTAAAGGGCTGGATTGTGACACTGAATCTGAACTCCAAGCAATAATAATAAAAGCACTGGTGTTTTCTAGTTCACATAATACCTAAATGAGCTTTTAGTTTTTCTGAAGGCTCACAAGCACATCTTGGCTCCTTCTGGCTAGTGTGGTATTACTACTTTTCACAAATTCTTTTCTCAGTCATTCAGCTGCCCCACTTACCCGAGTCTGATGCAGTTGGCTGAAGGAGCTAATGAATCTTTAACAATAAGGTAATGGTGAATGAATCTGGAATAGGAAAATGGTTTTCTTTGAATCTATGTTGTTTAAAATGAAAAAGATCTCTTGTTAGGGGATCAGACAGATTAAGATTACAGAATGTGGCGTTTTTTTCAGTAAGTGGAAACATGAATATAATTTTTTTCCTAACAAGAACATTTACAAGATTTTGAGGAATAGGTTCTGTGGCTTTTATTGCTCAATAACAAGATGTTGGTTGTAGTCCGCTCTCTCACATGGAACAAGCAAACACTAGTTTTGCAGATCCAGAGACAGCTGTTAGTCGGTGCTCTACATTTACTTTAAAGGAACAGTCCTGGTGAAATAGAGCATAGCAACAAAGGAATTGTCACTTTTGATCAGACCAGCAGTTCATCTACATCTGTTCTCCTGCTGATGGCAAAGAGGAAGAAATCAGATCTACAGGGAAAATAAGTTTTACAGTTAGAGGTAAATATTGGACACCTAGCTAAGAAACCTTTTGGACAAGTTGTAGAATAAAGGCATAATTCTGCTGAAAACCAGTGTTGAAACAGCAGTGTTTTCACAATTTGCCTTCCAAAAAAAAGAAAACAAAAATAACAAGCTTTTAAACAAAGAGTGGTTTACAGTTATTTTTGCAGCTTTATTTGCTTTTAAA